CAGGGTTGGTCAGTGTCGACTTTGCAGATTTATAGCAGAGCTTGACCTAGTGATGTTATTGTATATAGCTCTTCCCAGGGCTCACAACCTCTTGAGTGTCTTGGACCACTTGGAAAGTGGGAGATTCCCTGGCGTTATACACTAGTCAGAAAAGGAAAAAAATAAAATTCCACCATTGTCTCTGCAAACCACAGGTAGGTTTCTGCAATATGAATTTGTTTTCTCATTTCTAAAGCTGTTCTTGAAATCTCAAGGTGGCTATGACAGATTCGGTAAACTGCCACTGCTCATTAGTCACCTCCTCCCATGCCGAGTCTGTTCAACTCTCCCTCCCAGTAAGCACTTGATCCACTTTTCTATCCCTTCCTCCGGAGCTCAGAGTTCCAAAACCATCCTCTGATCTGTCTCATCTGGTTTTCCTTGATGTGGAGAGTCCACACATAGCCTTTCTGTCTAGGCCACCATCGTTCTCCTCCTCTTAAATCTGTCTTTCTGTAGTCCTGATGTGTAGGATAAGTACTGAACTGCTAACCACATCATACATCCCTCAGAAACCTTATTGGTTTAAATAAATTTTAGTATTGATGTACTTGGTGATATTTTAACCTCATTAATTGAAAGGATAGAATATGGTATAGATTTGTGTTTTTCATTTTGCAACTTGAAGTACTGAATTTTGTTTGTTTCCTAACAGATACGGCCTTTTATGAAAGCACACCTCAATCGAGATAAAGACAAAGAACTTTTAAAATTAACACAGTACCTCAAGGAAATAGCAAAATTAGATGACTTTTTGGAGCTAAACCACAAATATTGGGAAAGGTAAGTGCTAACCAGCTGTATAATTTTCTTCTTAATACTAGTAAATGCAAATTGTCAGGTGATACCAATATATACAGAGCTCTTCATTTCTATTTTAAAAGGGTGAATGCTAAAAATATTTTTTATTCCAGTGACTTTACTTCAAATATATTTTTCTTTTTGTTTTAACCTCTAACTTGTTCATAAGCCTTATCTCTTAAATACTAATAATAGAGATAACTTTAGAGACTGGTGGAGATTTATGATAATGTTTTTTGAGAAAACTTGATAAGTCTTTTTCTTATGCATCATATGAAATATGGTATCCCTATTCTCATACTGTAGAATACTGTCAGGATTAAGTAAAATACGTGAACGATTTCCTTGAAAATATTAAAAATTACATGTAATCTGTGTTCATAAAAAAAATTTATTTGACTACAAAACAGTCACTCATGACCTTTATATCCAAAGATAGCCACTGTTACCATGTGAGAGCCTTGGTGTGGTGCTGGAGGAAGAGCACTGGACTGATAGCCATAGGGTTGGAGGCTCAAATCCACCAGCCGCTCCTTGTAAGCCCTATACAGGGGTCATTAGGAGTTGAAATCGACTTGATGGCACTGAACAACAACCACTCCCATATGATGAACAATCTTCCAGATGTTTTTCTGAGCTCTGATGTGTGCATAAATCTAGATATAGACTATGCATGAACATCATGAGATATCCAGCATCGTTTCTATCACCAAGGCCTGATTTTCTATTTACCCATCCTTCCTCTTTATTTGCGAGTTTTGCATTCCAGTTACCAGTAATTATCAGTGCATCTTGGTTATATACTTGATCAGTTTCAGACTTAAGTTGTAGAATTCTTAAATTTCTTTATTATTGGCTTTAGTGTTGGTTTA